GAGCAAATGCTGTAGTTGCTTTTGGTAACTCTCAGTGGGATCATAGGGTAATGGCTTGTAGAAACTCATGTTGGAGAGCTGCCGAGCAGCCTCTTGTTCATATTCCGACCTATTCATGATGACAACAGCACCTCCTTTGTCAGCCTTTTTGATTATGATGTCAGAGTTGTTTCTGAGGCTGTGGATGGCATTGCGTTCCGCATGGCTGAGGTTATGGGGCAAGTGATGCTGCTTTTCCACAATTTCAGCCCGTGCACGTCGGCGGAAGCACTCTATGTAGAAGTCCAGTCTGCTGTTTCGACCTTCAGGAGGAGTCCATCTAGAATCCCTCCTTCTGTAGTGTTGGCAGGGAGACCTCTGTGGATTAGTATGTTGTTCAGAGGTATTTTGGAAATATTCCTTGAGACGGAGACGTCGAAAATAGGATTCTTGGTCACCACAGAACTGTATCATGTTCGTGGGGGTGGAGGGGCAGAAGGAGAGGCCCCGAGATAGAACAGCTGCTTCTGCTGGGCTGAGAGTATAGTTGGATAGGTTAACAATATTGCTAGGTGGGGTGAGGGAACCATTGCTGTGGCCCCTTGTAGCATGTAGAAAGTTTAGTGTCCTTTTTCCTTTGTAGAGAAGCAAAGTGTGCGTTGTAAATGGCTTGTCTAGTTTTAGTAAAATCCAGCCACGAGGAAGTTTGTGTGGAAGGTTGGTTCTTTATGAGAGTATCCATTTTTGAGAGCTCATTCTTAATCTTTCCCTGTTTGCTGTAGAGGATCTTGATCAGGTTTCACTTAGTTTCACTTAGTATAATGACTCAACCACTCCCAGTCTCTATTCAAGCCTAAGTTAATTGTATCCAATTTGCAAATTAATTCCAATTCAGCAGTCTCTCGTTGGAGTCTGTTTTCGAAGTTTTTTTGTTGAAGGATACTCACTTTGAGATCAGAAATCGAGTGACCAGAGAGATTGAAGTGTTCTCCGACTGGTTTATGAATGTTATAATTCTTGACATCTGATTTGTGTCCATTTATTCTTTTACGTAGAGACTGTCCAGTTTGCCCAATGTACATGGCAAAGGGGCATTGCTGGCACATGATGGCATATATCACATTGGTAGATATGCAGGTGAATGAGCCTCTGATAGTGTGGCTGATGTGATTAGGCCCTATGATGGTGTCTCCTGAATAGATATGTGGGCATAGTTGGCAACGGGCTTTGTTGCGAGGATAGGTTCCTGGGTTAGTGGTTCTGTTGTGTGGTGTGTGGTTGGTGAGTATTTGCTTCAGGTTGGGGGGCTGTCTGTAGGCAAGGACTGGTCTGTCTCCCAAGATTTGTGAGAGTGATGGGTTGTCCTTCAGGATAGGTTGTAGATCCTTGATGATGCGTTGGAGAAGTTTTAGTTAGGGGCTGAAAGTGACGGCTAGTGGCGTTCTGTTATTTTCTTTGTTGGGCCTGTCCTGTAGTAGATGACTTCTGGGTACTCTTCTGGCTCTGTCAATCTGTTTCTTCACTTCAGCAGGTGGGTATTGTAGTTGTAAAAATGCTTGATAGAGATCTTGTAGGTGTTTGTCTCTGTCTGAGGGGTTGGAGCAAATGAGGTTGTATCGTAGAGCTTGGCTGTAGACAATGGATCGTGTGGTGTGGTCTGGGTGAAAGCTGGAGGCACATAGGTAGGAATAGCGGTCAGTAGGTTTCCGGTATAGGGTGGTGTTTATGTGACCATCGCTTATTAGCACTGTAGTGTCCAGGAAATGGATCTCTTGTGTGGACTGTTCCAGGCTGAGGTTGATGGTGGGATGGAAATTGTTGAAATCATGGTGGAATTCCTCAAGGGGCCTAATCACATCATAGGGCCTAATCACTGTTCCTCAGACTTTCTTGTTAACTCCTGGAAATGTGCGGGAAATGGCCCACCTTGATTATCACTTCAAAAGGTTTTCTCTCCCCCCACCCCTCTCTCCTGCTGGTAATAGCTCATCTTAAGTGATCACTCTCCTTACAATGTATATTTTTTCATGGTTTTTTTCATGGTCTGTGTGTATATATAAAATCTCATCACTGTACTTTCCACTTTATGCATCCGATGAAGTGAGCTGTAGCTCACAAAAGCTTATGCTCAAATAAATTGGTTAGTCTCTAAGGTGCCACAAGTACTCCTTTTCTTTTTAGCATTAATAATATCAGGCTTTACATGAGCAGGCTCCCCAAACTGTGCTGGGGCCATAAATGGCATGTGTGCCATTGTCACTCCCTCCTCTTCCCACTATTCTGGGTTTCCGTCCAGGGACCCTATGTCCAGCAATTATGGTCTGCTTGCTCCCAGACCCTGTTGCTATTTCCCTGGACTCTCTCCTACTTCCCTTCTCTATCTTCTACCCCCCGCCCGCCAGGGTTTACCAGCCCAAACGTCTGCTTCCCAGGGAATAACTGTAGACTACTTCCCCTCTCTGACTTCTTGGCAGACACTGTAGCCCCAAACAAACTTCCCTTCTCTCTGAAAGTGACTGCAGATTACTTCCCCTGCAGCCCCTTTCTGTTCTCAGCTTCATCCCTTTATACAAGCCCAGCCTGTGCCTTCATCTTCCATTCAGCTTTATTGCACCCTGGCTCTCCTCCAGGTGTGGAACACAAGATTAATTGATTTAATTTAAACTGCTCTGTATTGTGTGGATTGGACACTCCATCACAAAGTGGAACCGAAGAGGGAATTTTGACGGTGAGAATCTAGGTATTTTAATTGGAATTTGGCTAGGACACCAGGGTTAACACTCCTGTTCTTAGAGATAGTGGTATGAGAATGTTAAGGATCACAGGTGGTCATGCCTTACTTTTGCATCTCACCTGAAGGACAGCAGTAGCTTCTGCATCACAGTGCTCTCTATCCCCACAGAATAGCATTGTCTCAGAGAGAAGAATATGACCTGCTAAATCACGAACCATACTGCAGAGGTATCATGACTGATGTATTTTTATAAATCAGTAAATAAAAATAATGCTGTTGAAACTCATACGCAAAAGGAAAATTCTGTGCTGACAGAGTATAAAAGAACAACCAATATGGGACATTTCCAAACCTTTCCTAGTAGAAGGCTCATATAATGCCAAATTCTGATACCTTTTCTCATGTTGAGTAGTACCTTACTCTGCAAGTAATCCCACTGAAATCAGTGGGATTATTTGTGCAGAATGGTTCTACTCACTGAGAATGAGGGTGGCCAGCTCATTCTCTTAGTGATCAAACACACTGTGTTGGCAGTGCACAATAAATTCCTTGGCAGTATACTCCAGACAAGACGGTCACATGAGGGTGACTTAATTACATGCTTCATGAGGGTGACTTAATTACATGCTTCAGAGGGTGACTTAATTACATGCTTCAGAGTAGCAGCCGTGTTAGTCTGTATTCGCAAAAAGAAAAGGAGTACTTGTATAAATTTGTTAGGGTATGTCTACACTACGGAATAAGGTCGAATTTATAGAAGTCAGTTTTTTAGAAATCGGTTTTATATATTCGAGTGTGTGTGTCCCCACAGAAAATGCTCTAAGTGCATTAAGTGCATTAACTCGGCGGAGTGCTTCCACAGTACCAAGGCTAGAGTCGACTTCCGGAGCGTTGCACTGTGGATAGCTATCCCACAGTTCCCGCAGTCTCCGCTGCCCATTAGAATTCTGGGTTGAGATCCCAATGCCTGATGGGGCTAAAACATTGTCGCGGGTGGTTCTGGGTACATATCGTCAGGCCCCCCTTCCCTCCCTCCCTCCGTGAAAGCAAGGGCAGACAATCGTTTCGCGCCTTTTTTCCTGAGTTACCTGTGCAGACGCCATACCACGGCAAGCATGGAGCCCGCTCAGGTAACTGTCACCGTATGTCTCCTGGGTGCTGGCAGATGCGGTACAGCATTGCTACACAGTAGCAGCAACCCATTGCCTTCTGGCAGCAGACGGTGCAGTACGAGTGGTAGCCGTCCTCGTCGTGTCCGAGGTGCTCCTGGCCATGTCAGCTGGGAGCGCCTGGGCAGACATGGGCGCAGGGACTAAGTTTGGAGTGACTTGACCAGGTCATTCTCTTTAGTCCTGCAGTCAGTCCTATTGAACCGTCTTATGGTGAGCAGGCAGGCGATACGGATTGCTAGCAGTCGTACTCTGGCCTGTTTCAAAAGCTGCAGGAAGGGACTTTATTCCCAGACCAGAAAATAACTGTTGGGGATGTTGAAAAGCCTATATGTATCCTTGGGGACCCAGCCTACCCCTTAATGCTATGGCTCATGAAGCCGTACACAGGCAGCCTGGACAGTAGTCAGGAGCTGTTCAACTACAGGCTGAGCAAGTGCAGAATGGTGGTAGAATGTGCATCTGGACATTTAAAGGCGCGCTGGCGCAGTTTACTGACTCGCTTAGACCTCAGCAAAACCAATATTCCCACTGTTATTACTGCTTGCTGTGTGCTCCATAATATCTGTGAGAGTAAGGGGGAGACATTTATGGTGGGGTGGGACGGTGAGGCAAATCGCCTGGCTGCTGGTTACGCGCAGCCAGACACCGGGGCGGTTAGAAGAGCACAGGAGGGCGCGGTACGCATCAGAGAAACTTTGAAAACCAGTTTCATGACTGGCCAGGCTACGGTGTGAAAGTTCTCTTTGTTTCTCCTTGATGAAACCCCCCGCCCCTTGGTTCACTCTACTTCCCTGTAAGCTAACCACCCTCCCCTCCTCCCTTCGATCACCGCTTGCAGAGGCAATAAAGTCATTGTTGCTTCACATTCATGCATTCTTTATTCATTCATCACACAAATAGGGGGATGACTACCAAGGTAGCCCAGGAGGGATGGTGGAGGAGGGAAGGAAAATGCCACACAGCACTTTAAAAGTTTACAACTTTAAAATTTATTGAATGCCAGCCTTCTTTTTTTTGGGCAATCCTCTGTGGTGGAGTGGCTGGTTGGCCGGTGGCCCCCCCACCGCGTTCTTGGGCGTCTGGGTGTGGAGGCTATGGAACTTGGGGGGGGGGGGGGAGGGCGGTTGGTTACACAGGGGCTGTAGTGGCAGTCTGTGCTCCAGCTGCCTTTGCTGCAGCTCAACCATACACTGGAGCATACTGGTTTGGTCCTCCAGCAGTCTCAGCATTGAATCCTGCCTCCTCTCATCACGCTGCCGCCACATTTGAGCTTCAGCCCTCTCTTCAGCCCGCCACTTACTCTCTTCAGCCTGCCACCTCTCCTCCTGGTCATTTTCTGCTTTTCTGCACTCTGACATTATTTGCCTCCATGCATTCGTCTGTGCTCTGTCAGTGTGGGAGGACAGCATGAGCTCGGAGAACATTTCATCTCGAGTGCGTTTTTTTTTTTTTCTTTCTAAGCTTCACTAGCCTCTGGGAAGGAGAAGATCCTGTGATTATTGAAACACATGCAGCTGGTGGAGAAAAAAAAAGGGACAGCAGTATTTAAGAAGACACATATTATAAAACAGTGGCTACACTCTTTCAGGGTAAACCTTGCTGTTAACATTACATACATAGCACATGTGCTTTCGTTACAAGGTCGCATTTTGCCTCCCCCCACCGCGTGGCTACCCCCTCAACCCTCCCCCCTCCCTGTGGCTAACAGCGGGGAACATTTCTGTTTAGCCACAGGCAAACAGCCCAGCAGGAATGGGCTCCTCTGAGTGTACTCTGAAGAAAAGCACTCTATTTCAACCAGGTGACCATGAATTATATCTCACTCTCCTGAGGATAACACAGAGAGATAAAGAACGGATGTTGTTTGAATGCCAGCAAACATACACTGCAATGCTTTGTTCTACAATGATTCCCGAGTACGTGTTACTGGCCTGGAGTGGTAAAGTGTCCTACCATGAAGGACGCAATAAGGCTGCCCTCCCCAGAAACCTTTTGCAAAGGCTTTGGGAGTACATCCAGGAGAGCCGCGAATGCCAGGGCAAAGTAATCCTTTCACATGCTTGCTTTTAAACCATGTATAGTATTTTAAAAGGTACACTCACCGGAGGTCCCTTCTCCGCCTGCTGGGTCCAGGAGGCAGCCTTGGGTGGGTTCGGGGGGTACTGGCTCCAGGTCCAGGGTGAGAAACAGTTCCTGGCTGTCGGGAAAACCGGTTTCTCCGCTTGCTTGCTGTGAGCTATCTACAACCTCATCATCATCATCATCTTCTTCGTCCCCAAAACCTGCTTCCGTATTGCCTCCATCTCCATTGAAGGAGTCAAACAACACGGCTGGGGTAGTGGTGGCTGAACCCCCTAAAATGGCATGCAGCTCATCATAGAAGCGGCATATTTGGGGCTCTGACCCGGAGCGGCCGTTCGCCTCTCTGGTTTTCTGGTAGGCTTGCCTCAGCTCCTTCAGTTTCACGCGGCACTGCTTCGGGTCCCTGTTATGGCCTCTGTCCTTCATGCCCTGGGAGATTTTGACAAAGGTTTTGGCATTTCGAAAACTGGAACAGTGTTCTGATAGCACGGATTCCTCTCCCCATACAGCGATCAGATCCCGTACCTCCCGTTTGGTCCATGCTGGAGCTCTTTTGCGATTCTGGGACTCCATCATGGTCACCTGTGCTGATGAGCTCTGCATGGTCACCTGCAGCTTGCCACGCTGGCCAAACAGGAAATGAGATTCAAAAGTTCGCAGTTCTTTTCCTGTCTACCTGGCCAGTGCATCTGAGTTGAGAGTGCAGTCCAGAGCGGTCAGAATGGAGCACTCTGGGATAGCTCCCGGAGGCCAATACCATCGAATTGTGTCCACAGTACCCCAAATTCGAGCCGGCAAGGCCGATTTAAGCGCTAATACACTTGTCAGGGGTGGAGTAAGGAAATCGATTTTAAGAGCCTTTTAAGTCGAAATAAAGGGCTTCATCGTGTGGACGGGTGCAGGTTTACATCAATTTAATGCTGCTAAATTCGACCTAAAGTCCTAGTGTAGACCAGGGCTTAGTCTCTAAGGTGCCACAAGTACTCCTTTTCTTTTTAATTTACATGCCACATAAAACTTCTAAAGGGACACAAACAATCATATTCTCACTAGCAATTCAAAAACAGACATCTTATCACATGCGCACCCATGATAAGGATGATTTGTGTCAGATTTATGTATAAATATTGAGGTATATAAAGTTGGTATATAATAAAGTACTTTGGGCAAATCACTGCTCATGCATTGACTTCAATGGGGCCAATTCTGGATTAAATTTGACTCCTGTGCAGAGGGCCATATGGCGGTGTGAGGCTTGAAGGATATTATAACTTCAATATTTAAACATATAATGCTCATACTATACCAAAATAATTCATGGGAATTTGTGACATCAGACAGTCTGAAGAAGTTAACCTTTAATTGTTAAGGTAACTTTTAAGGAACAGATCCTAAGTACTGAACTAATCTCTTTGATGGTTAAAATGTTTGCAAATGGAGGAGGTATCCGTCTGACTAGTCTCACTGGCACATGTTCAAATATTTACAGGTAATTGCACATGAGAAGACTGCAATCTCAAGGCTATTCAAACTCAAGGAGTCTACACATTTAAAAGGACTCCGGATAAACACCTTAGGTGTGTTAGGAGTGATTACTTAAAACTGTTAATGCCTTGAAATGTCTGTTAATGGTTAGCTAAATTCTGGGTGAGGTTATGTTTTGAGATAGGATACAGTGTGGACTAAAGCTAAATTGATTTCAAGACCTTGCAGTGATGACAGCCAACGTATTAGAGAACTGGGAGAGGAAAAACATCAAGAGAAGGAGACAGTTAACTTTTACTAATTTACAAGCATTTTGTACTGGTTTGAGGAATTATATTGTAAAAATAGGGTACAGAAATGATAGAATATTCCAATTATATGCAGTATATTTTCCAACCCAACTCATCAGAGCATATGTGATAAGATACTATGAAGGAGAGAAAAGAAGAGTTGGAGGAGCAGGTACACTTTTACAGCAGGACAAGATTTTCAGATAGAGTAGCTGACTTAACACCTACACTAAAACGTTAAACAGCAGCACTTAGAAAACCAGGATCCTCCAACATGGCTAATTAAACATGTGATCAAAGGCTTTGAGGGGGTTTTTAGTACAATATTACAGATAGAATAAATTTACTAGAAATTGTGATCCAAAATAACATGCCCATGTTTATGCTGGGTTATCTAGGTACATAACTCCCACCAAAACGGGAAATGTGGAACAGTTCTAGACGTAGTTGGGGTCAAAGCCTGCTCCAGAGCAGCTTACCAGAGCTGGTCAAAAAATGGTACATTTTACAATTTTTTAAACTTTGTTTTCTGGAAATGTTTCATGAAAAATTTCAAAATTTTCTGATTTTTTTTTTTTTTTTACAAACTCTCACCTCCCCTCCACACACCCACACACCCTGATTTTTCATTTCTGGATTTCCCCCTGTTGTCTCCTGCTCTTCTTCTTCTCCCCCTACCGCCCGCCCTCTTTTCCAGTTCCATTTTACCACTGAAAAAAGAAAACAGTGGAAAGGGGGAAAACAAAAAAATAAAAAAACAAAAAAATCATTGAAAAATTGGAGAGTTTAAAAACAACAAACATTTTCTGGCAAAACATTCATTTTCAGAAAAGGCTACTTTTTCATTAAAAAAAATCAAATGAAAAAAGTTGACCAGTTCTACTTTACATTTCACAGGAAACAGCATCAAGACCTCATCCCATTTCTCACCTTGAGGAAACAGCAGATAAATTACTATCTATTTCTGAAATTTAGTTTAACTGTTTTGCTTCCTGGAACCAAATATCCAAAATCGCACAAAAGGCATCTGAATGGAAAGTCCTAGTTAGAGCCATTAAATGTTAACTCCGTTTTTATTTTGTATGTTTTTCTGCCATGTGTATACCACTTTTGTCCAAGAGAGGTGCACCTATAAATATGCATTCAATACATATTTGTTAAGAAACATATGGGGGTGTGTGTGTGTGTGTGTTCAAAAGCACCTAAGAGATCCAGGTGCTTCTAAATCTGTTAGGGACTTTTGAAACTCTCCCCAATTCTTAACAGTATGAGTAACTGGTGAACATATTTATACTCTGAGTACCTTCCTTCTATTTCCAGAAACAAAACTACCAGATGACATAGTTCACTTAACCAAGGTGAAGAAGTGTGCATGTGTATTACCTTTTGTGGGACTCACAGTAGCTAAAAAATACTCTTGTATGTCTAGGAAGGTCTTTGGGATCAACTTGGAGTGCTGAGCAAACGATTGTGGGCCACTGGTGCTTGACGGGCTCAACCTTATGTTGTGGGTAGTGTGGAGCTGCACCTCTACCGGGAATGCTCCAGAGAAATGGAGTTCTCCTGGGCACATAGGTATGCAGGAGTAGCATGCCACTTGCAGCATCAGCATCCCTCAAAATACTCCTTACCAGCTCAGCAGTCTGATGTGGCTAGAGGTGGGGCTATTTCTCTACTGCCTTCCTATCCCCTTTGAGGTGGCTTGCAACCCTGGGCACACAAGGAGGGAGTAGTCCCTACACTCAGTAGGGCATGGAGACAGCAATTATGCTTAGTCACTGCAGAGGGTTTGCAAACTGGAGAGAAAGATTCTTGCAACCTCCCTCATTGCAGTTGCCTAGCATAATCTGTTCCTGTAAGGACAGAGAGAAAGCACTGTCCCTTTGTATATCAAACACAGCCAAGGTGATATGGTGGATAACTCTTAAGGCCCAATCCTTACTCAGCCAAAACAATTGTGGGAGATTTGCCTGAATAAGGACTACATAACTGGGCCTTAAAACAATTTACAACAGTTATTCTTACAATATGTACTTATGTCTACACACAAATGCAAGGAGTATGGGGAATAAACATGGAGAACTGGGAATCTTAAATAAGAGAAATGACATAAGAGAAATTATTACTTAATTGGAATCACTGAGACTTGGTGGGATAAATCTCATGACTAGAATACTGGTACAGGAAGGACAGGCAGGGAAAAAAGCGAGGAGGTGTTGCATTATACATCACAAATATATACACTTGTTCTGAGGTCCAGAAGGAGGTGAGAGACAGACCAGTTGAAAGTCTCTGAGTGAAGATAAAAGCGAGGAAAAAACAGTGGCGACGTCAAGGTAGGGGAGTCTACTACAGGACCACCAAACCAGGAAGAGGAGGTAGATGCGGCAAGAGCAGCTGAAGGTCCATAAAAGTGTGTGTGTGGGGGGGAAATGGTGCCTGAACCGTGGCCCTACTCCCATGCTGCCCCTTTACCCGAGTCCCCGCTCCCACGCTGCCTCTTCCCCCCAGACCCTGTGCCCTACTCACTCCTCTCTGCACCCTCCCTCCTGTCACTCACCCTTATGGCTAGTAAAAAGTGGGGGGTGCATGACCCCCTAGCCTCTCCTGTTCAGGCGCCACTGAGATGAGGCATTTCTAGAACAATTAACAAAAATATCCAAAACACAAGTAATTTTGGGGAATTTAAACTGCCCAGGCATCTGGTGGAAAAGTAATATGAGACAAAACACAAAATCTCCCATAAGTTCTTGGAATGTATTAAGGACAAATTCTTGTTTCAGATGGTGGAGGAAGCACTGAGGGAGACAGCCATTTTATACTTGATTCTGACTAACAGGGAGGATTTGGTTGAGAATCTATGGCTAAAGGCAACTTGGGTGAAAGTTATCATAAAATGATAGATGTAATGATTCCAAGGAACAGGAGGAGTTAGAGCAGCCAGATAAGGACAACGGACTTCCAAAAAGTAGACTTCAATAAACTCAGAGAAGAGAACTGGTAGGTAAGCTCCCATGGGAAGAAAATCTCAGAGTTCAGGAGTGCTGGCAATTTCTCAATGCGATAGTTTTAAAGGCAGAACAGCAAACTATCTTGATGTGAAAAAATGATAGAAAGAATAGTAAGAGGCCAATATGACTCCATCAGGGGCGCTTTAATGACCTGAAAATAAAAAAGGAATCCTACAAGAAGTGGAAACATGGACAAATTGCTAAGGATGAATACAAACGAATAGTGCAAGCACATGTGAACAAAATCAGAAATGCCAGGGCACAAAATCAGTTACACCTAGCAAGGGACATAAAAGACAATAAGAAAAGGTTATTTAAATACATTAGGAGCAAGAGAGAGATGAAGGCAAGTGTAAGTCCACTACTTTGCAAGAAAGGAGAGCTAATAACGAATAACATCCAGAAGGCTGAGGTGTTTAATGCCTATATTATTTCAGTCTTCACTAAAAAGGTTGTGATCAGATACTTAACACAATAACTGTTAACAACCAGGGAGAAGAGCCAAGGTCACTAGGCCTCACTGACCACTTACAAATGGACAGCTGGAAACAAGTCTTGCTTATCTGTGTTAGCATTATCAAAATCCTTATTAGAGTGAAAAGGAAAGGAGTACTAGTGGCACCTTAGAGACTAACCAATTTATTTGAGCATAAGCTTTCGTGAGCTACATCCAATGAAGTGAGCTGTAGGTCACGAAAGCTTATGCTCAAATACATTGGTTAGTCTCTAAGGTGCCACTAGTCCTCCTTTTCTTTTTGCGAATACAGACTAACACGGCGGCTACTCTGAAACCTGTTATTAGAGTGATAACATCGTGTTTAGCATTTAGATTTTATGGAAGGCTTGTAGGATGCTGCATGTATTAAACCTACTTACAATGTCTTTATTCCATGTTATAAAGTAATGTTTAAATCTTTGCTCTGTAACTATAAAAATGTTTGTTAAGACCTTAAACTCCCCACAGTCAGGGGAAAAGCATTACCAAGTGTGAAGTATTAGTTTACTCCAAGAAGTGTTATCTCCTGCCCATCAGAAAGGGCTGTTGAATCCAAATGGGCTATTGAGGAACACAGACTTTATCGAATGCTCCCCCCACCCACCCATGGAGAGGTTATGTGCTGGAGCACTCATCCCTTCACCTTGGATTCTGGGGTGAGAGGGGATAAAAATCCCTGACAAGGAGAATCTGGGTTTCTTTATGCTGTTTTAGACTAACCAATTTATTTGAGCATAAGCTTTCGTGCGCTACAGCTCACTTCATCGGATGCTTCCGATGAAGTGAGCTGTAGCTCACGAAAGCTTATGCTCAAATAAATTGGTTAGTCTCTAAGGTGCCACAAGTACTCCTTTTCTTTTTGCGAATACAGACTAACACGGCTGTTACTCTGAAACCCGTCTTTATGCTGTCTGAACTCTGAGGGTCAAAGATTCCTAGACATAAACAAGTGATCCCCAAGCTGCTTGGCTTGGGTTAGCTCCAAAGGACATAAAAACTTGCTTATTATATACGCGTCTATTACCTTTTGAATTTCATAGAATCATAGAATATAAGGGTTGGAAGGGACCCCAGAAAGGTCATCTAGTCCAACCCCCTGCTCGAAGCAGGACCAATTCCCAGTTAAATCATTCCCAGTTAAATCAATTTAAGCTTGTACCTCATTTGTGTGTTTATGCTTACCTGCTTTAATCTTGTAAATAACTCTCATTTCTTTTCATTTCTTTTCTTAGCCAGAACAAGGGCTGTACCAGGGGAAAGGATTGTGCCCAGACTAGGAAGGTGTCCAGTCGGTGATAGAAGCTTCTTGAAACATCTGAGGGTGAGATTTCATCTGTAATCACTTTTCTTACTGTATCAGGCTTAGACTTGCATGTTTTATTTTGCATGGTAATTCACTTTGTTCTGTTTGCTATTACTTCGAACTACTTATATCTTACTTTTTGTATTTAGTAAAATCACCTTTTACTTATTAATTAACCCAGAGTATGTATTAATACCGGGGGAGCAGGGGGGGGGGAGAGGGAACAGCTGTGCATATCTATCACTATTATAGAGGGCGAACAATTTATGAGTTTACCCTGTATAAACTTTATACAGTGTAAAACTGATTTATTTGGGGTTTGGACCCCATTGGGAGCTGGGCATCTGAGTGTTGGAGACAGGAACACTTCTTAAGCTGTTTTCAGTTAAGCCTGCATCTTTTGTGGGATGTTGTTCAGACCTGGGTCTGTGTTTTCAGCAGGCTAGTTTGTCTGGCTCAAACAGGCAAGGTTCTGGAGTCCCAAGCTGGCAGGGAAAATGGGTTAGAAATAGTCTCAGCACATCAGTTGGCAGCCCCAAGGTGGTTTCTGTGATCCAACCCACCATAGACACCAAGATGGAAGAGGTTTCACAATTTGGATGACAGATTTGGAATTCAAAATTACCTTGACAAATTGGAGAACTGGTCTGAAATCAACAAGATGAAATTCAATAAAGACAAGTTCAAAGTATGGAAGGAAAAGTCAAACACACAGCTGAAAAATGGGGAATAACTGGCTAGGCAGTAGTGTTGAAAAAGATCTGGGGATTATAATGGATCACAAATTGAATATGAACTAACAATGTGATGCAGCTGCAAAAGAAGCTAATATCATTCTGGGATGTATTAAATGAAATATCATTTGTAAGATAGGGAAGGTAATTGTCCTGCTCTACTCAGCATTGGTGAGGCCTCCCCCTGGAATACTGTGTCCAATTCTGGGCACTACACGATAAGAAAGATGTGGACAAATTGCAGATTCCAGAGGAGAGCAACAAAAATGATAAAAGGTTTAGAAAACCTGACCTATGAAAAAAAGTTAAAAAATCTGGGTACGATTAAACTTGAGAAAATAAGTGGGGAACCTGATAACAGTCTCCAAACATGTTAAGGGAAAATCTTTCTAGCTATAACATTAGTTACGGACTGGAACAGGCTTCTAAGGGAGGTTGTGGAATCCCCATCATGGGAGATTTTTAAGAACAGGTCAGACAAACACCTGTCAGGGATGGCATAGGCTTACTTGATCCTGCCTCAGTATAGGGGGCTGGACTCAATGACTTCTGAGGTCCCTTCTAGCTCTACATTTCTATGATTATTACTAAATAGATTAGTAGTTTGTAAGCTAGAAAGTCTAAAACCTGGTCCCTAATGCTGCTAGTGCCTTTGAGTAGTGTATTTGATCATCCAAAGTGAGTCAATTGAAAAAAGTAAAGCAAGATGATTCCTCCCACCCCAAAAATTCTTACAGTTTTAAAACCACAAAGCAGTGTCAATATCATAGGCAATGTAGTTTTTCTAAAAATATTGCCTTATTCTAACCATTATGACGTACAATGTCCCTTTAAAATAACGTGAAAAATGCTGCAGAAATGAAGCACTTCGTGCTTTGCATGTTATGTAGTCACTTACACCTGTGCCAAGCACCTGTACAAGATGTTACCCACCAGTGTGCATGGACAGTGTCGTACTGCCACTTTGCCCAGCTGCCAATCAATGGCTACACAAAGGGCAAGAAGGTAGAGAACCAGGTCCTCACAGCGTTTGGATTTTGTAGAGGGAAAGACAAATCTTCAGCTGGGGAAATCGGACAATCTAATAGCTACCCTACCTAGCCATCACACCAGGACTAGCCAGTCATCAGACATGACTCTGCACAGTCTAGTACAAAGGCAAAGGGCAGCTGACTCTCACCCTGCCGGCGGCAGTGTGATTCCCAGGCTGCTCCTGCGGAGCACCACGGCATCAGGCGGCCGAGCTCCGACCCAACGCGAGGGCTCTGCCGCCCACTCCGTTGGGACTGGGGCCTCAGGAGGCGGGGAGGAGGCCTGCGCCTTTAAGAGGCCGGGCAGGGGAGGGGGCGGCTGGCTGGCTGGCTGGCTGGCGGCGTCTCCCGGGTGCGCGGGGGGATCCTGCGCACTGGAGCTGCGCCCTGCTTGACAGGCTGCGCGCAGGCGGCGGCGGCGGCGGCAGCCCAGGGCTCTCGGGCAGCCGGGATCAGCCGCAGCGCGGCGGGCGGAGGCGGCTTCCAGCCATGCAGCTCGCCGTGCGCTCCGGGCTGCTGCTCCTGCTCCTGCTGCGGGCCCGCGGGCTGCGGGCCGGGGAGCGGAGCAGCAGCGCCATGGAGGAGATCGCCACGGAGAAGGAGGCGGAGGAGAGTCACCGGCAGGACAGCGTGAGCCTCCTGACCTTCATCCTGCTGCTCACCCTCACCATCCTCACCATCTGGCTCTTCAAGCACCGCCGGGTGCGCTTCCTCCACGAGACCGGCCTGGCCATGATCTATGGTGAGCTGGAGCCGCGCAGCCGGGGTGCTGCCCCCGCCGGTCCAGTGTACGCCGGCTGGGGAGGGGGCGCGGTTCCTGTGCTCTCCGCGGCGGTCCGAGCCAGGGGGCGGGGGGATGACCCGGGCTGTGGGGGAGGACCCCCCCTCCCCCGCTCCTTTTCACTTTCCTTTCCCCGTGTAAACGCGCGTGCCCGTGAGCTCCGGGACCGCACCGCTTGTAACGAGACGCCGGCTCGAGTAGTGTCTCTGACCCTCTTTCCTCTTGACTTGTCTCTTTATTGCTAGGCCCTCGGGCGATCCGGCGGCGCTCCCCCTTCCCTGGCCTGCCCGCCCGCCGACAACGGGGTGTGTGTGTGTGTGTGTGTGTGTGATGGATTGGACGGGACCCTCCTTCAGTTCTGATTTCCCATGAAATGGGCTCAGGCCGTGATTGGTCGGTGTGAGGGAAGCGGAGTAGCCAGGTGTTTCGGTGCCACTCTGCGCTGAGGGGTTCAGTCGCGCAGTGATGGGTGGCGGAGGGAGCCTTCCACAATAACACGGGGTGTGTGTGTGTGTGTGGAGCGGGGGGTTGTTGCTCTTGTCTGTTCCTCTCTGCTCCTTTCTCAAACGTGCTGTTTTATTCTGATGAAGAAGGCAGACATCCTCCAACATGCGTGTGGTTGGGCTCTGTTCTTTACACCAGGCTTCCTTTTTGTCAAAGGGCTAGGAGACCCAGGAATGTGAAAAAATAAAACCAAATAAGAGTGAGCTGCCTTTTATGGTAAGTGACAAGTCCTGTAAAATCCATGTCAGGCCAATAAAGCCCCCTCTTGCATAACTTGTCTTTGGTGACAGTTTTTCAGGCAGCTTAGCTTGGGGACTTGCTCTGGACCATAGCAAAGAAGAAAACACCCATTATGCCTGTGAGTTCATATGTGGGGTATAGTATCCAAGATGAACAGTTTTCCCCCCATTATGTATATTTGGGGTAGCTGTGCTCTGTACCACTTGCATGGTTGTATTATGTCATTAGAGTGTTCAACACGAAAAGGGCTCTGGCTTTTCAACCAATTTCTCTGATTTTAGGAAGCTAGCTTGATAAGATAATTTATTCTATATTTCTTGTGCTATGTGCACACAGATCATCTCCATCATTACTTTGAAATATAACTTAAACAGTGCTGCCATGGTGGGTATTTCACAAGATGAAAAGAAGCATCATTAAACGTTCATGCACTCTGTCCTGGTAACTGACTGCCAAAGAACTGCTATTTTGTTGTCTCTGGCACCCAGTACTTATTGGCTACCAATTGATTACAATGGAATTAGATACCAGGAAACGTTCACACAGTGCATCTTAAACCCTCTTGGTTGAATAGGCAATGAAACAAACAGAGCATGTTCTTTTTTCTTTAAAAAAAAAAAAATCCATCTGTAGGACAAAAATAAACGACACAGCAGAACAGATGTTCACACCTGCACTCTGTGTAGCTGTTAGTTCAGATACGCTTAGTCCCACAGTCTGCTATAATTAATGAGTGGTGCAGGAGCCTGCAGGTAAACCTGTGCTGATGGTTTTTACACACACACATACAGACACACACACACAGAGAGAATTCTTAAACACTTAGTTACTCAGAGAACATAAACAATTTTGACCATAAGGTATCATCAATTTTAAAAATGACTTGTCTGGCTGTGATTGGTAACTCTATTACTGCTAGTGGAACTTCTTTTCTTTCATTAGGTAGACCAGCTCTTGCATCATAATGTAAAACACCTACTTGACATTTGCATTTACTAACTTATCCTAAGATCTGATCACTTGTTAAAACAATGGAACTTTCCTCTGTTGATGTTTTTCTTAACCCATCCCAGTCTCTTCTTACTCACTGGTCTCTTGCTGCATTGCTGTGCATTTCATTTTACACACACGCACTGCTGCAAACTTAAAGGTTACAAAGATTGGCGAATTATCTACTAGCATAGAACTACTTAGCACTCGAATAACACTTTGGAGGTGTAAAGCACAGTACAAACATTAATTAGAAAGGAAAGATTACGATCATATCATGCATGTTACTTTGTTACTGCCTTAATGTAGTCATCTTCAGAATTGCTTCAGGTGGGAGTATTTAAAAACAGCACAGTATTCTAGACTTAAGTGGTTTTTTTCTTTTTCATTTTATATGAAAGTTTTATTTACATCAAGGGCTTAAAAATATCTATTGATAGTGGTGTGCGTTTACTACACTTCTAAAATACGCACACCTTTTTTTTTTTTTTTAATAGGACACCAAGGGTATTTGAATGTATCATGCTTACCTCTTGATGCTTTTTGACACAAAATGTGAAATACTTAAATTGGAAAAATCTTGGATTTTAATTAAATGCAATAAATTTACTGTAACTTTTAGGCCTTGATACTTAAGATGGTTCCCTAGCTTCTGATCTTTGACAGAAAAGTGAAATTTCTATATTCATAAATCTCAGGAAATATGGTATTATAGGCTTTCTTGTTATGAATGCAAAAAATGTCAGGGGAAATGTCAAAACATTTAGTTACTACATGATCCTGGTGCTTGAGGAAAATGTGGCTATTGTTACAATTATTACATGTTTTCAAACAGCAACTCTTAAAAGTTTTAGTATTTGGAATGCATAGATGAGCCTCTTTGTTCCAAGATTATAATATATGATGTGCTTGCTTTAGAACACCCTCTTGCCATGACACAGCAGACCTCTGAGGAGAAATATTTAAATGAGTTTGCCGCTTTTTTTTGCAGATGTTAAAGTCTTCATGCCAATAAAGCTATGTCAGGGTCTGTCTCACATTATTTAAAAATATTGAAGGCTTCCTCTAGAACAAAGCAAGTTAGCTTTGTTACGTTTCTGATATTACAGCACATGTACTATATCAAAATTACATCATTCATATAGCAGTTTCTTTCTTCCTTTTGCACAAACGTTCATACAAAGAATGGTGGCTAAGCTGAGAGGCATTTGGTAAAAGATGATACTTGGGTACTTAAGGAATATAAAACAAAACACAAGCGAATCTATATATGTATATAAAATTTGATATCCTCTCCTCCATTGTCATGTACTGCTTTACACACACAGTCATTGGAGAGCTTACAGTCTAGGAAACCAAATATCTAACAGAGTTCTGATTCTGACTTGGATTTCTGGGTGTCACTGCGATATAAACATATAATATCAAATGAACCATAAAGATGCATGTGACTCTTTTTTCAGCATAGATTCTAAACAATGCATAATAGATGATAATAGTACTATGTGCACTAACTTTTGGTTCAAGACAAGATAGGGTCCCCATCAAATTTAATTTCAGTAAGGAAGGAAGCACTCCAAAGTCCCAGGTGGCTGTACAAGAGTAGTTGCTTAAGATATCTAAGTACATTTATAAAATAAGCAGATTTGCATTCTCTAACACTGAGTTACTTTTTCACTCATAGAAAAACTGACCTCCAGACTGTTGGTCATAATTTTTGGTTATGCTTCAAAGAACAAGTTTGTCCACAAGAGCTGAGCTCTTGGAGGTCTGTATAAAATCTATGTCTGATAAGGCCACGGCCATGCCTGGATTTGCCCTTTTATCATAACTTTACATTATTGGCTGACTTGATTCCAGAATACCAAGAGCCATTGTGTAGTCCTATAACACTTATAAATTCCCTGCTCTCTCACAACTGCCTCAATGGCAGCTGTTGCCACTTGTCTATCTGTAATAGGTTCTGATTAAATATGCTCTCTAAAAACTTTGTATTGTTGTGATATGAAGTAGAATTTGAGGTTTCATACTTCATGCTGTAAGCCATATTTTTCATAACCTGTTGTCACAGTTGCAGCGTCAACTGCACTTTAGATCTCTTATAGTCCCTTTTGAGTGCAGCCCATAGATGACAGGCCTAGCTTCCTTAACATCACGCTGGGTGAAAACATGAAGTCTAATCATTCTTAGACTGGATCTCTGGCATGCAGCCCCCCTGTTTACCGACTGGTTTGGTACCTGTCACCCCTTTTCCTCCTGGGACCTGTGTCTAACAAGTTATTAAAGAAACTCAAAAACAGTGTCTTCAAAACCAAGCATTAGTTATTAATTCCTCTGAAGGTTCAAAGCATATAGAACAAAAGGTGAAAACTATCAAAGACCTTTATGTGTCAAATTTGCACCATAATATTTCCTTGCCAGATTTGGAAAGTTCTCCTCAGCCCAGCTAACCCCCGTGTCTGGTTGGTAGAAGCAGATGGTCCTGCTTGTCACCTGCTCTTTCTGTGTCTTGGTGTGGTCCTGTCAGCTCTCCCTGGCTCTCTGAGAAGCCTCTGGCCACTCATTCAACCCCTTCCCTTGTCTAGGCCCAGTGTTCTTTAGTGGTTTATCATTCCCTTTAATTTTGCTCTTCTCAGCCTTGGCAAAACAGCTATGTCACCTGGTGCTGAGGAGTTGCTTCTTCATGGCTATGAATCTAGCTGTTGTGTGTGTTGGTATGTTACACCTTTATGCTGTCTTTCCTGCTTGGTTCCTTTAACAACCCTTTTGATCTAACTCCAGAGGATGTAACCCATTGTAAACAAACCCACAGAGACATATACCGTAATAATAAGAAAATACAAATATTTCCCTATTTTCACACGTATAATTTATAATCTTACTTAAGATTAAGCAATATGTGTTGAATCCTGGACATCTCCCACAAGTACTGGAGGTCTTCTTTGACAGGCTTTGAAAAATACTCTAACAATGTGCATTACATTTAATTTCAGATGGCTAATAGATGTTGTTAATCAATTACAGTTCTACAATTACACCTGTAGCCTTTCTGCCAGGTGACATGGGCAGCAACAAGGGTCAGGTTCAATATCTAGGGCAGTGATACTCAGTCCTCAGTGGTTCAGGAGCCAAATAACCAATCAGCATTACCCAAAAGAGCCACAGTAGTGTGACTTCATGGTTTCATTTCCTGTCATATAATTTAGACATATATAAAATAAATATTT